GACCACAGAATCATGATGGAGGACCTAGAGATTCCTAGAGAGAACATTGTAATAAAATCTGTGAATCATCAAATCCGTGAAAATAAAATCAGCAAATGTGGTGGGGTTGACTGTAATGTTGAGAATGATCACTCTTGTAATGCCAAGTATCTTAATGGGACTTGGTTTTGTATGGCTACTTAGACCCATTAGCTTTACAAAAGACTTGCCCCAATGAAGAGAAAAAGTACCAAAACCTGTTGTTCATATGGATCAAGATAGCTGCTTGATTTATTTTTATTTAATTTATTTATTGGACTCTACAAGGAGTATGGCAATGGGACCTGTCATGTTGAGTGCCCATGCTTCAACATTTACTACTACACAATTGCAGATACACATCATTTGGGATCAACAGGGAGGGAGAATAAGACAGAGGGATCAGGACACACATGGGTGATTGCACTGAAGGCTTTAGGAAGCCAGAGGTTATATACTCCTATTAAATTTGTTAAATCAATGCATGCAATCAAAAACCTTCAGGTCGCTGTTCAGGAGTGAAAAGATTCAAAGAAAGAATTTGGGATATAGTCACAAATTCCATCCTGTTAGCAGAGGTATGAATTGTATTTTTGGCAAACTACATTTTGTTCTCATTACAGTTACATATGTAACACAAGAATCCGCCTTAGAAAAGTCTCGCATTTCAACAGAACTTTCCGATAAACAGAATGCATTGTTAGGTTTTTTGTGGGTTTTTTCGGGCTGTGTGGCCATGTTCTAGAAGAGTTTCTTTCTGACGTTTCGCCAGCATCTATGGCTAGCAATGCATTGTGTTGAAACCTCAAAATTGGCAGGCCACCTGCTTGGCAAACCTGTAGCATCTTACACAACTCTATGAAGGATTATGGACAAGCTCACAATTTGCATCCTTCTCTATTGCACTCTGGTCACTCCCACACAACTGTGCAATTGTGCTTAAATATCTGTGACTTGAATACTGCATTCATAGATCATAGAAATATAAAACTGGGAAAGACCACAAAAGCCATTCTGTCCAACTCCCTACCATGTAGGAAGTAACACTCAAAGCACTCCCAATTGATGACCATCCAGCCTCTGCTTAAAAACCTCCAAAGATGGAGACTCCACTACACTTTGAGGCAGGGTGTTCCACAAGAGAATAGCTTTTACCATCAGGAAGTTCATCCTAATGTTAAGCTGGAATCTCTTTTCCTGTAGCTTAAATACATTGTTCTGTGTCCTGGTTCTCTGGAGCAGCAGAAAACAAGCTTCCCCATCCTCAATATTCAAACAAAAATCCATCAGTGCTATATTTATTGGCCAACCAAAATGCATAATATTACTTGTTGTAAGCTTTCGAAGCTCCATGGGCTCCTTCCTCAGGCAAGATATTACAAACCAAATAGGAGAAAAACAATTGGGGATGTTAGTCAGATGCCTACATACTGTTTCAGTCTTTAGTTAAGATGATATACGGTAGGGAAGATATCTTTTGCAGGCAGAATCCTTCTCCTTCTGGCTATAGGGAGATTTGCAAAGTCCAGAAAATTTAAAATCCATTTGCATCTCAACAGGGACCCCTCTTTTGCAATCCAGTATATCTCCATTCCAGTGAGGTCTCAGGCCTCTTTGTGGCAGAGAACAGTGGATGCCTCAAGAAGTCTCCATGTCTTTGCATCAGGAATATTTTGGTAGATGTAGAGGTAAAACATGCAAATTCAGTCCAAATTTAAGAAGAAGAAATTGTTTTGGCTTGGTTGATATGGTATGATATTATCTTCAAAAGGATATCCGTTCAAATATTTCAGCATGGCTATCATATCACCTCTTAACCTTCTCTTCTCCAGCCACTCCTTAAACAGCATGATTTCTAAACCTTTCATCATTTTGGTCACACCCCTCTGGACACGCTCCACATTCCAGCAATGCATCTGCAGAATTGGGTTGAAATCCACAAAAAATCATGCTAAAATAAAATAGTAGAAATAGTGCAAATTGAGTCCACTTTAACTGCCCTGACTCAGTGCTAGGGAATCATGGGAATTGTAGTTTATTGTGGCACCAGAGCTCTCTGACAGAGAAGGCTCAATGTCTCAGAAAAAAATACAGTTCCCATGATTCCTAGCATTGAGCCAGGGCAGTTCAAGTGGGCTCAATTTGCACTATTTCTGGCAATCTGCAAAGGCCTTAAATTAAAACTGAAGGCCATGCTCTACAATTGTGCACCACCTCCACAGATTGGCTTTTGTATTGTATCTACGTTTGTGATATAAAGTTAAGAATAGTTAAATGAACAATTATACATACTCTCAGTGATTCCCTCCACCATCCATCTCTTCTCAGTTCAGGTGGTACTTTGCCTTTGTCCATTCCCTTCAAAGAAACCCATATTAGACATTCAGCACATGCACCATTTCAGAGTTGTCCTTTTGCAGAAAGTATTGATAGATGCAAGCATGTAATGTACATATGAAACTCACTAAACCTGGTACACGTGCTATAAAGTATAAAAACTAGATCTATATGCATTTAAAAGACCATCCTCCACTGCACCTAGCTGCCCAAGATTTAACATCAGCTGGGGAGGGGGCTTGCATGGACTGTAGAGCTTTTAACATATGGCAAATGTTTCTTGGTAGTGGCACCCCAGTTGTGGAATCTCCTCTTTTTAGAAGAGTATGGTCATGATTCTAGATCAGCTACTTAAGTAGTTACATGGAATCTGTACAGACCGGCCACAAGGGCTGGCCTGGGGGTGCAATTGGAGCGGGGCAACCACACACCAGCTGCCTTGACACTGCCATCATGCTGCACACCCCACCACATGGCGCACGACATCAGGGAGCTTCCTTGGCGCAGCATGTAGACACGCTGCACCAAAGGGGTTCAAAAGAGCTGTGGCAGCGGTAAGGGTGGCTCTTTGCCACTCCAAAAAGGAGCGCCATTTGCCGTGGTTGCCATGGCCCTGATCCAGCGCTCCCAGGGGCAGTATGGAGCTGCCCCTTAGGGGTCATCTGTATGGCCCCGTAGTAAACTAGCATCGTCTGACCCAACTATTCTAATCCTGATTTACTGGGCAGCAGCCACTTCAAGCAACAGGGATCTGTTCTCCTGTCAATCATAAGTGATCCCTTCCCATAAGTGATCTTTGGTGCAACAGTTAGAAGCAAGATGCTTATCATAATTTCTCCTTGCAATGGAGATTCCTCATGGGAGAAGGGTAGAAATGTCCATCTACTGCTTCACAGTCAATAGGAAATAGACTTTCATCTATTGTAGCATTGCTGCCCAGTAAGTGGAGTTTCGGGGGCTTCCACAATCCCTACATATTCCCTACACTATTAAATTCATAGAGATTATGAATACAAAACAAATCACAAATGTGTGGCTCTAGGTTACACATTCGCAACT